TTTGGGGTCACAAGTTTTTGCTATGGATATTTTGTGGGTCAGAAGACAAAAAGTTTGGGAACCACTTCTTTAAAGGATAGTTCAGACCTTTTTGAAATGAGTTTTTGGGGAAGGGTTGTGAACATTTAGTATCATCTTTTTTGTAGATGGCTCTTTGAAAAACTTATATTTAATTTTCACCAGATTCTGGTGAACTAGTTCAGGTGTGGCTAAGATCAAAGTGCCGTCAAAACATCTGCAGTCAAAACTTTGACAGCTGGGCATGTAAGCTGTTACCCTGCTGCCAGTTTTGCATTGCACACTTTGATCGTCATGTTCCTGCTGTAATTTCCTCATTCTGCACCAGAAGTAGCTACTGTCACCACTAATGTGCTTGCCAAGTTGTGGAAAAAATATTGTGTAAAAATATATTGACAAAGATTTATAAAAGTGTTTGTTTGGGCTGTTTTTTTTAATGTGGAGTTTTAGAGCAGCTTGCTTGGATAAGCCATTAGCTCATCAGTCCGRTCAGAATTGGTTTTTATCTTTTATTTTTCCAACCTGAGGCTGTTCAGAGAGAGAGGTAAAGACGAGACGTTTGTTTGTTTGTTCTTTGTTGTTTCTTCCCACTGAACCCAGCTTCCAAAGATCTGAACTATCGCTTCAACAACAGCTGCGACTAAAACAGTTTATAAAAAGAAACTACATTTTCAGCTACTTCATGACACATTTTTTTACACAATGAAGGAGCAGGGCATTATATCATGATGAAATATGTTAGTCATGTCCACTCCAAAACAAAAATAAGTTTTGTTTCTGGAACCTTTGCTGATGGGTCTGAATTCTGCTGTGAAAAACATTGTTTTACCCATTAACAAAACCATTAAAGCTACATTTCTTATGTCTTAAATTGGCTAGACTGTATTCAGACACAGTGCATGATGTACATTAATCTTACATGTATTCACTGGTGGATGATTTTTATTGTTAGTTGACTTAATGTATAAATATTCATGTAGCACCTCTTAAAGATCCAAACCGGATCAGCTGGGGGATCTGTGTCTGTCACGTTAATATGAGCTGTATTTGGTTCACATGACTTCATGTAAAACTGTAGAGGACATAGCTTTTCTCTTTATCAATGCCGGTTATTAAAATCAAAAGTAAATTAAAGTATTTCACATTATTATAAGATTGATATGACGGTTTATAATTTTCTTTGAGTGAAAGTGGTCTGCAGCTGGTGTTGGGTTGGTTGCTCACAGTATATGGCTTGATTTAAAATGATTCATATAATAGCCCATGGTTTTACTGTAACTTGATGCACGTCTGACTTTAATTACAAAAAAGCAAACCACTTAGACATTAAATAAAACAAATACAAAGGTGGTTTATTTCTTTCTCTGGAAATTTAAAGCAGCGTTAACACCTAAAAATAGAAACTGTTCTTCGTATCCTAAAAAAAAATTCAGCAAACCTTTGATCCTGATGTGCTACTATTAATTTGCTTTTTGCATTAATTCTTAGACATGTGATCAAGATGACGATGAGGTGGAGATCGCTGTGGACAATGCAGCCTTCATGGACGAGTTCTTCTCTCAGGTCAGATTATTATCATGTGGAAACATGTCTCTCCTTCTATACAACGATCCATTTAAATAAATGTTGTCGAGTTTTTGTTTATTTTATCTTTTCCTTCTTTCAGATCGAGGACATCAGAAACAGTATTGATAAAATTGACGAGAACGTGGCCGAAGTCAAGAAGCTTTACTCGGTCATCCTGTCTGCTCCCACGTCAGATCAGAGTAAGCAAATTCATATGACGTTTGAATGGTTTTATATGTTCTTGTTTTGACTATATAGTTTTAATTTTCTGTTTAGGATTTTATTGTGACGTCTGTTGTGTTTTATTGACTGTAACAGAACAAAACTTTAGACCTGTGGTTGTTTAAACTGCTTTATTATAATAATGTTGATCAGTCAGAAGCAGCAACTTAAAATTAGTTTTTCTTCCCAATGTTTTCATTAGTTTTTTTATTTTTATTGAACTGGTTTACATCCTGAAGACAGAAACTCCAAATGAATACACCTGTCATAAAATATCATAATAAACATATTTATTTGCAGAATTTTCCCTGTAATTGCATAAATATCGATTGTTCTTTTGAAGTAATCTTTGTTGCTTTTTGCAAAACTTTTGCAAATTTTTTTCGTGGTGTTAATGAAATATCTCATGAAAATTTCAAAATGTAATTATCGGCTTAACGTCTACAAAGATTATTAGAGCTGACCCAATTCAAGATGGCCACCATAGACAACTGGCGTTAAGTAACACATGACTGAAACTCAGTCAGTTTTACAGATATTGAGCTAAAATTCGRTGTGGTAGTAGCTGAGAGTCATTAACTCGTACTCTGGGAGTGAACAGATTTTGCAAGGGTTTGACCAAACGGGGAAACTTCCTCACTTCCCAATATATGTTGATTTTACTCTTGAACTCTGAGATTAAAGGAGACAGCTGTAATTAGGAAATGTTTTCATCCATAACTTTGTGCTTTTTAATTCCAGAAACACAAGATGACTTGGAAGCCATCACTAACGACATAAAGAAGATGGCCAACAATGCAAGGAACAAACTGAAGAGTAAGTCTGACTCCCACAGACAGAAGAAATCATTTTATTAGATGTAKGTTGAAATGATGTGGAACGAGTTGATATTTAATTCTGTTTTCCAGCCATTGAGAGAAATCTGGAGTCAGAACTGCAAGAGAGGGTGTCTGCTGACCTGAGGATACGGAAATCACAGGTAAAATATGTCCGTCATGGCGTCTGGGTGACTTTTAGGTAAAGATGTTTTATATAAAAACTCCTTTTCCAAATAAATTACCTCCTTATCTGTGAGGATTTTATATAAATTCAGTTGATTTGACTTGTATGGGTCAAACCTCAGAATATAGAAGTAAAGTAAAARTTTTGCTTTTATATTTTTAAATTTATCTTGAACTTGACGGTTTKTCATCCTGTCGCCCAGCATGCAGTGCTGTCCAGGAAGTTTGTGGAGGTAATGACGAAATACAACGAAGCTCAGGTGGACTTCAGGGAGAGAAGTAAAGGACGGATTCAGAGACAGTTRGAGATCAGTAAGTTGCATTCAGAAAGACGCCGATCCTGCAGTGATCCGAGTTAGTGACGTTTCCAAACCTGCACCTTCCAGCTGGAAAAGCAACGACAGACGAAGAACTGGAGGAGATGTTGGAGAGCGGGAACGCYGCTGTTTTCACTGCAGGGGTAAGTTACCTGCTTCTCATTATGTGACTGGACTGTAAAAGGTTAAATAAAGTCAAATGTTTTGTTTTAGCTCATTAGTAGCTTTGTGGTTAGACACTTAACTGGTTGAGTTTTTGTAAAAGAGGCGTAGCTGGGTCTCAACTTTACTGAAAAAAAGGAACAGAAACCGTATTAAGAACGACTCTGTTTCTGAGAAATGAATGTTAGATGTTTGACTGCTGCAGCTGATAAAATGAACTCAAACTCTGCTGCTTGAATTCAAGTGTATCTTTGCTCACATTGATAAAAAGTTCTTGTTTTCAGCACAAACCGTCTCGCACAAGGACACARTTCAACTTTAGAAACGTAAACAAGCTTAGATGCTAACTTTTAGCTGTTTGATCCATTTTAAAGGAACAGTTTTCTGTGCAGGACCTGTTCGCCGCTCAGTTTGCTCTGATAAATCATACGTTGGTTTTAACGGATCAGACAGACACATGATCAGAACTCACTCCCCTCACAGGTTGAATGTTTTCGGTTTACACTCCCTCAGTTTGACAAAATTCTGAAGTCCTYRAAAYTAGATYTGAGATGTTAAAAAAATTAACTCAGTGAAAYAAAGCAAATGCTTTTATTGATAATAAGAGGGTGAACAACCACAGTCTGTTCTCAACATTTAGGTAAATAAATTAAGTTCATTTTAAATGTATTTTGTAATTCATTAAAGTTGATGMATATTTGGAAGCAACATCAAATCTTGGGACAAAATGTGTTTGTTGGACAGTTTAGTTACTAACTCTGGAAAAAAAAACATGTTCTGATAAAAAAAGAGCGTTTCTTAAAGGAACACACACTGCTCGCTGCTGTTCATACCGAAACTTTAATCTCTGATTCTCTTTTTCTTAAAATATGGACTTTAGGGTTAAATCCTGAAAATGATGTGCTGCTCGATTGTGCACAAAAAGGCAACATATATTATTTATTCTTACCAGAGTAAATGTAACTCGGGTTGTAAAATTTTTATGTAGCAAATACCGATCCAGAAAACGAATGTCCGTCCGTTTGACATTTATTCTCAGGAGCCACTTCTGCAGACGTGCACACACAGTTACAKTCATGACAGTCTTTTGGAAATAATTAAAATAAGAACAGTTTTATACAGGACAAGTTGTGAATTAAAAGCTTTTTCAGAGAGTTTCACCATCTGTCCACATTTTACTAAAAATCAAGAAGATCAGATTTTTAGGACAGATAAAAATAATAAATKTAGGGGAATGAAGTGCAAATTGTCGCAAATGAGAAACAGCAGCTGTTGGATTACAGTGTGTACTTGTTTAGTTAATGAATCAAAATATTCTGACACACATAAGCTACACATTGATACCTGGATCATCCTGATATATGCTTTGATTTGCCTTCCTAATCAGGATAACCCATCGATATTTGATCTGAATCCTATTTTTAGGTTATTCTAATGAGGGGTTTATGATGTCATTTTCAAGAGGAAACCTCAAACATTATTTGGATATTAAGATTAACCAGTTGGAAATAAACAAAAAGTCTTTTCTGCTTAAAATTATGTTTTTCGTAGCTACTGCTCAAAAAAATGGCTTCCATAAGATTWAATTTATATTTCAGATCTTTTATTTAAACRACACATTGATAAGGTAATTCTTACTTCTATTATGACAAAATGCACTAATTCCAAACATTTGAACCCCCATCTGTGATGGACTTGCGACCTGTCCAGGGTGTACCCCGCCCCTCGCACTGTGACTGCTGGATATGGGCACCAGTGACCCACGCAACCCTGAAAAGGAAGAAGCGTGTACAGAAAATGGAATGGAAGAAATGGATGAACCCCCATGCACTTTAGCTGCCTGTTTCTCCACAAAGCTTTTTGGGACTTCATCTTGATTTGATGGTGGTGTGTGACATTAGGTTTGTTTTCACCTGAGTTTTTAAATAAAACCGGTCCTGTTTGCAGATTGTGGATTCTGGCATCTCGAAACAAGCCCTGAGTGAGATCGAAGCCCGACATAAAGACATCGTCCGTCTGGAGAGCAGCATCAAGGAGCTCCATGATATGTTTGTAGACATCGCCATGCTGGTGGAGAGCCAGGTAAAGCCCCCTGCACTCATCTGCCCATCCATCCATCCATTCATCCATCCATCCATCCATCCATCCATTCATCCATCCATCCATCCATCCATCCGTCCATCCATTCATCCATCCATCCATCCATCCATCCATCCATCCATCCATCCATCCATTCTTTCAGCTCATCTTTTAATCTTTTCTAGTGATTAATCACGACTAAATCAGACTCTTTCTCCTGATTTTCTGCTTTCCTTCTCGTTCTGTGGTATGACCGTCATTCTSCRTGTTTTCTGCCCTTTTTTTTTTCAGCTCCATACTTTTCTTCCACCTCTCTTCTGCTCCTGCCACCTTCCATCTCACTCCTCATCATTACTGGAACATGAATTCATTTAGTAAGATTCACATCAAACCTTGTTCTTGACATAAATCATAGCAGACACAATATGTTTGGACATTTAATAAAACTAGGCTATGACCTGTTTTCCTGCTGCTTCGTGCTTTCTGAGGGGAAGGGTTGTTTCAGGTAAGCATTTTATCCTTCACTCTTTATTTTTCTGGCTTATTTCTTTCTCAACTATTTTTTAAAACTTATCCGAGTCTTTATTTTACACTAAAAATGCATCTTATTAAATTAGTCAGTCATGGTTTGTCTTTTAATATGTCTAACTGAATGTTTTGTGTGTTTTCAGGGGGATATAGTGGACAACATAGAGAAGAATGTGTCCCAGTCAGTCGATCATATAATTGAGGCAAAGGAACAAACCAAAAAAGCAGTTAGGTACCAGACCAAAGCACGGAAGGTAATGTTATTTAAGTATTTATCATATAAATCTGCTCGTGACCTCTTCCTGTGTTCTACGGTTTGTTTCAGAGGAACGGTGCCGTTCTTTCACCTTCATACCACACAGATCTGCTGCACTCGTGTTTCCGTTTCTACCTCTCTGTTTCTTTTTCACTTGTTTCTTCTGCTGCCTTTTCGCCGCCGCTGCCATTCCCCATCAGGGCGGGATGATTGACAGGATTGAGAGCAACATGGACCAGTCGGTGGGCTTCGTGGAGCGCGCCGTTGCCGACACAAAGAAAGCCGCAAAGTTTCAGCAAGAAGCTCGTCGCGTGAGTGACGGTGGTCCAAAACTAAACCACGACTCGGTTTCTCAAAAGCAAACTGAAGCGGTTTGGCTCACCAAGAACAAACAAACAAATCACGGCTGAAGTGAAGCAGCGCCGAAGATTTTAACCATATTGTCAACAGTCTACCAGCTGTGTCCGGTCTGCCCTCTCGAATTATTACAATAAACTGAAGTTATTCCTGAACCTTTTAGGTCTCAGATCTGCTGTGCTGTGGATTCTGCAAGCAAGCATCCCCACCAGCAGAAATCCCTGGTTTTTAAATGCATTATTTGGTTTTAGAACTCTTTCAGAACAGTTTTATCTTGAACACAAGTTTTGCTTTTGGGAAACCCGCTTTAATCACAAAACCCATCTCCACAATCAGGACCTGTGACAATCCCCAACCCTCCTCCCTGCTTTCTGACCGAGCCTCCACCCTGTGTCCTGTGGACCCCTGTGCCCCAAGCCCCTCCTCCACGAGCGTATCTTTGACAGGTTCTCATCGATGCTGCTTCAGCCAAACGTGTCTCCTTTTCCAGTTCCAACGAGCGCTTTTAGATCCACCCCAGTGGTGGTTCCAGGCGGGTGACGCTGAGTTTTGCACACAAGCGATTTTGACGTGCGCAGACTGTGACTGTGGATTGACTGAGCCGAGGTGGAACTTAATCAAGACCACGCACACACACACAGCTTGTCTGTCTCTTCTGTCTCTGTTGTCTTTTAACCTGACTAAAGCTCTGGTCTTTTCTTTGTTCATGAGTAATCTGGATTAGTCTCCTTTTTTTTTTAAAGTAAACCTGCAAAATCCTGTTTGTGTAACTTCCAGTCATGTTGTGTCATTCAGTGACAAATCCTCAAACTGACGCTGTCCTGTTTGTTGTGTTCCACTGTGATCTGGACCTGACCACACTGTATGTACTTCCCTACAGAAAATGGTGATAATAATAGTGGTTGTGGTGGTCCTGCTGGCAATACTGGCTCTGATAATTGGGTTGTCAGTAGGACTGAAGAACTGAGCTGAGTGAACTCAAAGGTGAGTGAACTGRTAGTTTGAGGCCTGCTCTGCAAAAAATAAATCTCCTGGTGCATGTTTTTTTTTAAATTCTATCCGGAGAGCTTACTTGAGGTTTGTTTGTGAAGTACTTGGGTGTGTGTGTGTGTGTGTGTGTGTGTGTGTGCATCACTTATCTGTGGTCAAACAAAGTGGTGTTAGCTGTGAGTTAGCTGCGTGCTGTTTAAGCTGCTGTGGGGTAATTTAAAGGCTCCTGCTTTCAGTCATTAACACCAAACCTGTTGTCTCTGTATCCACCCCCCCCCCCCCCCCGTAGAAGATCTTCATCGGACTATGCTGCGCTGTGGTTATAGTCATCATCATCATCATCATCATCATCCTCACCCAGACAATATAGCAGGACAGTTTCATCTGTTTTCATCATCCATTTCTTCACTAAAGAAAGAACTCAACAACGTGCTGATTTAAAAACCTAAAGGTGTGGCGTTACGTCGGACCTATAAAAAGAGGAACGACAGCCTCTCCAACTCTCGTTTTTTGGACGTTTGCTCTGCTGCAAATGAGGAATTAGGAGTTGACCTACAACAGCACAGACAAAAAGGGGAAACAAAAAAAAAACTKATCGTTACATCACTCCAGCGTCACTCAACATTTCATTGTCTCCAACATTCGATGCCAAAGTTTCACCTCCTGTTTGTCGTTCGCATTTTTTTTCCAACCGTAGCAACCTCCCAGATCATTACGCCTTCATGAGCCTTGACACATTTTACCTGACTTAAAGCTACTGAATGTTTTCTGCTGTCGGGTCCTGTTGGGTTTTTAAGCACTTTTTCTATTCGGCAAAGCTGGAATTAGGGTCAGACTTTTTGTATTTTTGTGTAAATAATAGAATTAATACTTGTTTTGTCGATAAGTTGTGTTTTTAAAAGTTCTCCAGTGATCCATTTCTAAGAACGGGCATAATTTCACTTCAAATGCCTTTAAATCTTTCACGCTTAGACACGACTGTAACAGTGCCTCCTTATGGGTTTGCCAAACGGCTTCAAGTAACACTAGTGGCTCAAACGGTCTTTTAACAAGTTTTTCTGTCAGGTCACAGGCAAGTTTAATATTTCTACTATAAATTTCATATCTGTAGCAGGTGAAATATTAGAACCACCCTTCACGGAGTGATTTAACTCTTAACGATGAGTAATGTTAATTTAATCAGTTTATTAGGCTGACTGAACAACTTCTAATCTTTTAATTAAAGCAGACGATGTGAATAAAAGTAGAGAAACTGTTAAAATTGTGAAGGAGATACTTGAAACAAAGAGGCCTCCTGCATGGTTTTTGTGCTTCACAAAAGGAATAGGAGGGGTAAAAACTGAAACTGTTGCACGTTATTTTTGTTAAATGTTAATTTTTTTCAAATGAATTAAAGTTTATTCTTTTTTTATGTCTTAACTTTTCTGTTTGTGACCCTGGAAGTAAATCTGTAACTAATATTTAGCACTGTCAGATGATCTGTGTGTTTTAAGTGTTTTTATGGTTTAGCTTCTGGTGGTTGAATCAACATTTTTGTTTTACTGCCGTGTTGCAAAGTGCARCGTTTTAACATTTTAAAGGCTGTTCAAGTGCAAAACATGAGGTGAGTTGTCATCTTTTATTTCCTATTACACATACAAACACCCTGTCCTCTGATCCTGTGCTCTCCCTTGCTGTTATTTCCTCAAAACCAGTATCCATAAATGCTTTAACATTGAGATTTGTATTTTGATTTTCACTTCCTCTAATTTGACTGGTTTGTATTTTTTTTTACTGAATCTCCAGAAAAAGATGATGATTACGTTGTGTTGTGCCATCATTGGGATCGTCGGGTTCTCCTATCTCTACAGCTTCTTCTCATAAAGTGTTCAAACAGGTGAAACATCCGTTTGGATCTGTGAGCACTTTTTTTTTTGCATTTGCACGCTTTAACATTCAAACTCATATTTTCTTGTCTTTTTGTTCTTCCTAGTGATGCAGAAATCTTCAAGGAGAACCATTTCCTGTGGTGTTGCCCTGTTTTTGTCCTGCCCATCACTATAATTTTATATAATAAAGTATCATTTTTGTCCATGCAAACTCTTTTTATTTCCCCCCCCCCCTCGCTGTATAAAGTGTTTTAAATGTAGATTTCTCTCAGTTTGGCTGTTTTAAAACAGATGGCTCAACATGTGACTTTTAATCTCTCTGTTCAGCTGTGATCTGGCGCCTCCTGGTGGCGGATTGAAGGACAAACTTAAAAAAAATGCTCTGAATGACTCGTCTCGAGTCATTAAATTACTGGGTCAAACAAATATTTCATTATGCATTATTTTCGAACTTGTGTGTGTCGTCATAACTTAAAGTGCGTGGTTTTGTTGTGCATGATCTTTCTGCGTGAGTCAGTGTTTGTCAACTCAGTAAAGCCTGTTATGTAATATAATAAATAAAAACAAATTGTGCAAGTCTCGTGCATGCCTCACTCATTATGCAAGTGTTTAATAATTGACCATGAATGAAAACATCCTAGATTTGTTTCCGCGATCGGAACAGTCGTCACGAGAGGTTTAAAAGCTGCAGCTGATGGAGAGGAGCTTTGCGTTTCCATCCTCATTCTGCGGTTGTTTGGAAGCCCGGCCCATCGGCGTGACGTCAGGTGGAGTGCGTTCGTTTTGTTCACCCGAGTTGGCCAGAAAATCAGGAGCGAAGCACAAAGATATGTCTTATTGCGTCTATGGTGTATTGAGACAATTAAAAAAGGCAATTGTTTTTGTTCTGTGAAAGATAAAAACAAACAAAAATAACAAACCAGTCCCAACCTCATTTAGTTCAAATCCAGTTATAATCCGTTCATAATATGAAATGCCAGTTTCATAAGAGTTGCATAGTAGTACGACCCCCTTTGAAAAGACCACCTGCAGAACCAGGCTCACCCCCGACCAGACAAGAGTCGATCCTGAAAGTGAAAAATGCATGGACCAGTTTCCACTGCTCAAAATGATCTTGTGCATTTTATTTTTGGTCGACTGATGGGCTCCATGTATTAGTTTAATTTACTTATTACAACATTTTTTCTATTACATTTCTAAAATTTACTTTGCTTATTTTAATTCTCTCTTTTGAATTAATGTAAGTAACAATAAGATAATAGCAAAAGTACACTTAGGCTTTTATTGTCTTAGCATGGCCCTAGTTCTTTGTCCCAAAAGCCCCTTTGATACTATGTATTTTAATCTAGAATATTCAAATTACTTTGATAACAATATAGGTGTTATTTTGAATGCTGTGACTCAAAAATGTTTAAGAACTAATTATGGGATTTATTCTCCATGCTGAGTATTGATTTGTTACTTTTTGTACTTATTTTATATCAGTTTTTGCTGCTGTGATAGTAATGATAATTAACACCGCACTTTAACAAAAGAAATCTTTCATCAGCCGGTGAAGTAAAAACAATTCTTCACACAGGGTAATTGAGTTCTAACCCTTTTTTAAACAGCACCTGCTGTGACCAATCACAGTGACGCTATGCTAATTTTCGGACCAATAGGATGAGTAGGAGGGCGGATCCTAAAGCGTTTTCTTTTCCTCTTTTCCTTTTTTTTTTTTGTGTGTGTGTTTTTTGACCAGCTGAAATGGCGGCCCGTAGCGTCGTGTAACTTTATCGCACAATAAATAAAAAAACAATATATGCTCGTTTTTTTTCCCCAACACGTAACATGGGGACGAACTTCACTGAGACACTTCGGACGTTCTAGTCAAGATTCGTTATTTTTTATCACATCGTCTGGAAAGAGTTAAAAGGTAAAAATCCGAAAGCTTCCAACTGCCCCGCAGCCGAGGCTAGCTGTAAACTAGCTAGCAGAGACGGTAGCCAGTGACTTGGGGAAGGTTAATAGCCGAGCTACGCGGAGATACCGCCAGGCTGAAAGCAGTCATTTAGGCTCGTATTTATTTATCAGTACAAAACCGTAGTTAATTTTGTGTCGGCACTTGTTGGAATGAAAAAATGTCAAACGCTTAACGTTTGTAATCGTTTGTGTTATGCTAACCTTAGCTAGCTGGCTAACGTTAGCAGGATAGCTCTCATTAGAATGAGCTAAGTATATCTGCTATTGAAGGTTGTACAACCGCAAGAAATTATTCGGCATTTCGTGGCCTTTTTAATCAGATTGACCTAACATTTAATGCACGCCTTATTTTATTTTTACAGCGTTATTATGGAGGATCCTCACACACGGTACAGCAAACGTTTGGTAAGTAGCTTTAGCCGCTATCTCTTTTATGTTTACAATAATACCGCTAATGTTTCTTATTCTTTGTGTATTACTGTTTTTGGTTAATTTACAGCCCTTTAGTCAAGTAAGAGTGCTGTTTGAGTGAGTTGACCCGTGTTTGGCAGGAGCTGTCTTCTTGACAGTAATGAACTTGTTTAAAGACCCTCTTGAGTTCAGGATGAGGTCAAGTTCACCGTCTAACATGACTGTTCAGCTTCCTACGACTCTTTAACCTCATCTGTAAAACGATAAATACACTCAAAACATCACGTATACCAAAAGCTTGAAGTGTGCAAGTCAAATAGTTATATGTGATTATAGCCCAGTAATGGCTTTCAGTTGGTAATGAATAAGTAAATTTGTTCCTATTATTATTTATTTAAAAAACTTCCTTTCCCACTTCATCACCTTTTGTAATTTAAGTTACCCCTTCCTCATTGCAGTGATGTTTTTCATGCAAATGAATGGTGATAACATATTTTAGTTTGGATGATGCTTTGGTTGTTGTGTTAGAGGGATGGGGGTTGGGGAAATATGAGCACAAGGGGTGTWGTGCTTGATCCATCTGTCTAGCCAAGCAATGCTTTATGTGGCAAGGGATAAGGGGGGCAATGTGTAGAAGATTAACCCCTGCTTTTGTAAAGCTTTATTGTTTGTTTCTGACATGAACTGGTTTGGTGGCTGGTTGGCTGATCCTGTTAGATAGATTTTTTTTGTAATTTTAATTTTATGTGTTTAAAAGTAAGAAGTCGCCTGTAACTGTTTTAGTATGAGACATCTCTCACTAGCTTTCAGTTGTCTCAATTTTGGGTGCATCAAGCATTGTTTCAGAGGTCTTTTTACATTCATGTTTAATTCACGCAGCCTTGCTTCTGGTTGGACTGCTTTTTCTAAAGTCAGATTTTTATGTTCATGTCAAATATTTGTTAAAGTAATGTAAATGTGAGTGTTGTTGGTAGGTTATAGTTTTGAAACTACTATTAAATTCGTTAAAGTGAATGTGCTTGATGTATGTGTGAAGATATACAAAAGTGTAAATCATAATTAGACTTATTAAAAAGAACATCATCAGCGTGTTTAAGTTTTATTTAAATTCAACTTCAAGCATACTTTGCTCACTGTATTTCTGTTTTAATATTAGTAGTTTAATAATTTTAATATTGTGACAATTCACAAAAGATTAGTTAACCAAGAAGAGTCCATGTCATCCCTGTCTGTCTTGTTTTAGTTGCTCATTGTAAATCACATTGCTTCTGTTTAAAGGATTTCTTTGTTGTTGTCCTCAGCGCACAGGTACRCGTCGTCGCTACCAGGACGATGGCATCTCAGATGATGAAATCGAAGGAAAACGAACTTTTGACTTGGATGAGAAGTTGCAGTGTGAGAGGTTTGGCTCGGATCTGGTCAAACTCATGGATGGTAAAGGTGAGAAATCCACACGTAAATGAACCAAACTCCAAGCAAGATATAAAAAAAGTCAGATTTAACAACTTGCAGAATGTTTTTGTAATGCCATGATAATTAATAAAACTATTATGATGAAACGTCATTGCCAGAATATACTTGTTATATTTGTTCTTTAAGTCTGTGTCTCATGAGTGTTTTTCTTTGTGTAATTCCTGGTTAGATTTCACATATGAATACATACAGAGGGAAGGTCTCAGGGATCCAATCATTTTTAGGAAAGCTGATGGACTTGGCATACAGTAAGTTTCCCTGACTTATAGCTGAATGTCAACAAAAAGTCTGTACATTTGTTCTAAAAGGTCTCTCTTTTACAGAATGCCAGACCCTGATTTTAGTGTGAGCGATGTTAAGCTGTTTGTTGGTAAGTTTCTGATTTAAATATTTAAGTAAATATATTTAACCTCTTGTACTCTAAATGCAACACGGGGCTGCTTCATCAGCTCTTAGTGTCCACTTTAATTTACTTCAGCAATAGCTAATAAATCTGTGAGAACTGGTAGAAATAAAAACACTAATCATACGTTTTTCATTATATTTAAATTCTTTAATTTTATGTGAAAGCAGTATAGTTCTTATTGTTTGAATGTTCATGATTGTAAAATTAAGCACTATTGCATTAAGTTATTGCACCATGCTGAAAAAAGTTTGTTCCTCAAAACAAATTAGATATAATAGGTGCTGTACCTAATGAGCATCGATTAGTGAAGTGAATTGCATCTTTTATACTGTAGTTTTGATTGTTGCATCTTTAATTGTCTTACAGGTAGTCGACGGATTGTAGATGTTATGGACGTGAACACCCAGAAGGGCATTGAGATGTCGATGGCTCAGTGGCGACGTTATTACGAGACGCCCCCGTCTGAGAGGGAAAAGCTTTACAACGTTATCAGTCTGGAGTTCAGCCACACCAAACTAGAAAACCTGGTCAAACGACCAGCGTCGGTATGAATCAGTTTTATACCTCGGAATAATTCTTATCTACATTGTATTAAAAAATGACCCTGTTGTTGCATTATTTGTTTCCATTTGAGAAGTTTAGACTATTTTTGGAGAAGGTTTTGGTTACCAGTGGTTCATTTTTAATGCAGAACATTTTGAATGAGTGTTTGCATGTTCCTCTTCTCTGCATTGCCCAGGTGGATCTCATAGATTGGGTGGACAACATGTGGCCCCGGCATCTCAAGGAGAGGCAGAGAGACTCCACTAATGCCATCATAGACATGCATTATCCCAAAGTACAGAAGTGAGTAAAAACTTGTACCTCAGCACAATGTGACATTTATTATTATTATTTTAAGATGCATCAGATAAAAAATTATGAGGCTCTTTTCCATTTCATTATTCTAATATTTATCCAGAAGTTATTTTCTATCCTTCCTCTGTATCTCTCAGGTACTGTCTCATGAGTGTGCAGGACTGCTTCACAGACTTCCACATCGATTTTGGTGGAACTTCAGTCTGGTACCACATTCTGCGAGGGGCAAAGGTCAGTCCATCAAGTTCCAGGAAAGACACGAGTTTTATTGTTTAAATGTTGGTCTGGGTTTTTGTTTTCATAGAAATTACATTTATTTTTATTTATGATATTCTGAAACATAACCCCCCCTCAAATAATAGGATGCACTATGGTTTTACTTTGACTGTAAACATGTAATACAAGTGTGCTAAATGTACCTACAAAGTAAATCAGGAGGAAAAAAAACTGATGAATCTATTTTTGTCCTTTTTAAACACTGCTGTTTTGATGTTATATCAAAGCAGCTGAATCATTTGCAGCTCAGAACAGAACATATAAAATTTTCTCTCAGGATGTTTGTTCTGATGTTTCTGTACTGATACCTTCTCAGGTATTTGTCCTTGATTATGTACATAAATGAATTAATTAAAAAAGTTAAATCATAGCAAATTCTCTGATGTAAAGAATGATTGAATAAAAGATCTGACTTGTACTCAGTGTAATTATTAAACTCAGTTAACATGAGTGCGCTTCCCATAGGTCTTTTGGCTCATTCCACCCACACCTCAGAACCTGGATATGTATGAAAACTGGGTTCTGTCTGGAAAGCAGGGAGACATCTTCTTGGGGGACAAGTGTTACGACTGTCAGAGAATAGAGCTCAACCAAGGAAACACCTTCATAATCCCATCAGGTCTGACACTCTGACAAACAAACAACAGTTTCAGACATGTTTTCTGCCTTTTCTATCAACCATCCACACACGTGTTCTCCTTTATTCAGATAGTTTTGTTTTCCACGTTGCAGGTTGGATTCATGCTGTCTACACTCCAGAGGACACTTTAGTATTTGGAGGAAACTTCCTTCACAGCTTTAACATCCCCATGCAGCTCAACATCTACAACATTGAGGACCGCACACGGGTGAGAAACACTTGCTCCTGTTTATAGACACACTGGGCCTCATGCAAGAACATGTTCGTGTTCTTATCCTAAATTTCTCTTACTTTTGTTTGTACAAAGGGTTCGTACGAACATGTCACGTCAGATTCAACAAACTCTTCTATCTTTAGGAAAAGTGTGTAAATGAGCTGCATAAATTACACCTGTTCGTATCCAGCTGCTCGTGCATGCGAGAGGAGATTAGAATAATTACCGCCCCAAAAACACCATATAAGGCTGTGTTTCCTACCTCAGATACAAGGAAGTGTCCATTCATGAAAATGACAGCGTAAACTAAAAAGAA